CATTACAATTCCAATACAATCACAAGACAAGATGGTAAGGAGGGCCCTGCCGCTGAGGGCTTACAATCTAAAAGGGAGGAAGAAGTGATACATGAGGAGGTAGCTGTGAGGGGATGAATTGTTTGAGAATGTGATGGTTCAGTGGTTAGGTTGAGGTGGGATGGCACCCTGTTACAATCTTTGCCCCTTTGTATTATTACTTTGGTAAAAGCTACTGCTAGATTGTGCTATTGGAGGCATGCGCTCTGCTTTATATACACAGGAGGACCAAATTTGTACGTTACAGACTACCAAAAAGGAAAGATAATATTTTTTCCTAAACGATAAAGAGTCTTGTGACACCTCTAAACATATCCTTCCCCTTATAATTTTCTTTAATTAAGGCACCAATATTCCAAAGTGGACAGAAAGCAGAAAAAAAGGATGACCTGAAAACATTGTTATGCTTGGTGCTGCCCTCTATAACCTGCCTCCCCTGAGCACTAGTCTCAATGTACTATAACAGTAAATACAGAGAGGGCCATGTCATGGCAATTTTGTAGCAGCGATTCCTCATTGTTACAAATCACCAAGGCCAGTGGTGAATAAAGGTGAACGCAGAGCAATTGTCACTGATGAGCCTGCAAAATAAATGGCCTGTCTGACATGGTACTAAATCTATCCAAAGTTGGATTCATCCAATCTTCACATCACAGCACTTTACTGAAGGGCCAAAGAAAGCAAAGACCAAATTATAACCTGTTTATTAAATGAGATGTAAGCCCTAACGTGGATGACTTGCTGAATGCGGCAGCACAATGTATCACAAACCACTGCCATGTTATGTCTTACAGAAAATACTGTTATCACCTATTTTTTTTTTTATCTCAGAGCTGCGGATACTCTGCAGCTACAAGCTATCGGCATGCATGTTGTACATAATTTCTCAGGGTGTGTTCATGTCAGTGACAAAGGTGGAGCATGCCAGAGCAATGGGCCATGCTTGTACAATATGCATCAGCTGCTTGTAGTCTCTATTGGCAGCATGGGTGACAACACAGGTGCCCAATATAGAGACAGGGATAGAGCATTGTCACCCTATAACAGAAAGTGATTTCTTAACAGGATTACCAGGTATAATTTTGAACATACATTGTCTCACCCCAAAATATTCCAGCCAACCGCCCCTACAGTAGAAGATGAATACTGTACCTACTGAGTTACATCTTCTGTCTTCATCAGCTCTGGTTATTACTGCTATCCAACACTTCTGGAAGTATTTGACAGCAAGACACTTGTGTTGAAACTAGGGATGCACCAATACCGGTTTTTCAGTATCGAGTACCAATATTTTTTTCTCTGTACTCTCCGATGACATGTGCCCCGATTATCAGGAATTCGGGCGGCGGATCATAACCCGTCACCCGGTTTCCTGATTGCCCCGTGAAGCCGTGTACTAGCGAAAGACACCAGCTTCACTTTCCGAGGCTGCCTGAACAATCAGGAAGCCAGTTGGCGAGTCATGAGGTGCCATATGGCTTCCTGATTGGCGAGGAAGCCGGGCTGCCCAGCAACAAGTGAAGCCGGAAGCAAGAAGCAAAACTGTTTACTTTAAGCTAGTAGATGGCTCATTTCTAGCCAGTCAGGATGCCGGGAGGCAGGTCAAAACCAACCACCCAGCTTACTGATTGGAAAGGAAGCCGGCTCCACGCTCCCTCGGCACTGCCAGTCAGAGGGGGATCTCCCTCTGACCGGAAGTTTTGGTATCGGTGGTTTTCAGCGAGTACGAGTACTCGCCCAAATACTCAGTATGGGTGCACCCCTAGTTGAAACCACAGCACCCAGCATCAAGACACTTTAACACACTTGGGAAGTGTTGAATAGCAGTGGCACCCAGAGCTCATAAAGACACATGCATTCAGCTTTTTCTTTAGCAGGGAACACCGAGATCATTTTTAGCAGCGTGACATGGTCCCTATAATAAAAGCTGAAGATTTAAATAGATCAAGAATGACTTTTTAAAATAACACGTTAAAGCTTATCTAAGCAGTGGTGTAATGACAGCCATAGCAGCTCGGACAGCTGCTACTGGGCCTGCAGTAGGGAGGGGGGGGGGGCCCAAATGGGGGGATGTTTGAAAAATTTTTTTTAGGAATTTAGAAAAATTAAACTGTAAAGTCTCAAGTATAGAAGGGCTGAAGTCAGACCTCAGGTTGGTCTGCAAGTCACAGTAAAAGCTGGCCATGCACAGCTCAGATTTTAGCCAAGTTCTGCTGAGTCGGCTGAAACTGAAGCTGTGTGCGGCCCTACCAGCACCACCCGGCTTGACAAAAGTCAAAGATTATTATTTGACTTTTGTCAAAGCTGGGTGAAAAATTGTTGGCCAATCTGTGACTGCAGCCAATCAGCTCCTGATTTCGGCATATTTATGTTAAAGCCCAACTCTGGTGAAAATGACCCTGTTTTGACAATACGGTACTTTATTCCTATGTGCATTTCACAAAACTATAAGTGTGACACACATGGAGCGATATCCTCTCTTTGGCTCACAATTTCATCATCATTTTCTGTCCCTGGTGACCAGCTTGATCTGCCAAGTGAGACACTGTGCAGAACACCAGTGGGGGGGTTGGCACAGTGTTTAAAGATTGTTGCAAATGCAAGGCAAACTGCAGAACATGTTTCTGGTGGAATCTGCTGAGTGTGATGTGCTGCTATTTCCACATTACAAACCACAGAAAAGCAAATGCAACACACCATTCCACCTGCAGACAGGAAACAGAGGCAAGGAATCATGGGACATGTAGGAAATGACCATACAGTGATGAACAAACCCTCCTCCAGGCATCTGAGGCATGTTCAGTTCCTTAGCCAAGCGCTGAGTAGCTTTTCTGCAGCACTTCAGTTCACTGCAGCAGCTTCACTGAATGCTTTGGCCGCACAGTGCTAAGCAAAATGGCGGAGGATAATATTTTTGACTAATAAATAACATTTTCCAATTAATATTTGGTGTGCTTGTCCGCCAAAACATTAAATTGTAGGTTCCCACACTGAATTGTGATTCCCTCCATCGGGGCTCAGGAACCTTTCTCCAGCGCTGCCAGGTGTGACCACAGTTGAAATGGCCGCTGCTGCTCTGTTGCCCCCTCGCCGTCACACTTAGCGCTCTGCACCCACATTAACGTTTGCTGCGAGTGCTACGTTAGCAGTGCTGAGCGCCGATGTGCAGCGCAGAGTTCAGCGGCGGTTTGATAACTCAGCACTCGCAGTGGCTGAGCAACAGGACACGCCTATGATTATAGCCGTGAAAGCGGCGGAGGCATGATGACATCACAGGTACAAATATATCTGATTTATCAGTTCTGCAGCTTGGAATTTAAACTTTTTTTATGACGTGGAATTGTGGATGGCCTGAGGGCAGGTTCACACCATTTTCCAGACCAGATCTGGTCCAGTGCATTCCAGACCAGACAAAATGAGATGAGCGCAGGGATACATTAGGATGCATTTTGGGTCTGGAAACAATCTGGTCTGGTGATGATCTAGATGTGGTGTGAATGGACCCTGAAGGACAATCAGATGGCAGTAGCACCAGAGTTGGACTTTTAGGCCCCTTTCACACAGCAGAAGGCTCTACTATCATGGTGATTCATGGGGGGGGTCACATCTCAGAGGGGTAGTTCCATAGTGCTGCCTGTCAAATTCAACATGCGAGTTGAAATTGCTTCACAGCGAAGCTTTGCGGCTGCGGGCACATGTATGGTCCTGAGCGGCCACCATATCACAACATAGGTGCACAGTTGATTGGTAAAAAAAAACAACACCTAAATGACCTGATTTAATGGCTGTTTGTGTGAATTTAGGCTTAGATCAATGACATATACTGTCACAGCTGACACCACCAGCTACTACAAAGAGGGGCCCCAGCACAATTTTATTATGGAGCCCCATGATTTGTAGTCACACCCCTGTGTATAAGGTTTCACTGAATGGATTGCCATCCACTTTAAACTAGAAATGACACCCAGCAAGTCCTGCTCTCTATTTAGGGAGCCCTCATTCCATTCATAGATGCACGCAGATGCAGTGTATGACACAGGTGGTCATTTCCGGGTCCTGGAAGCCTAGGCCAGGAAATGAGGCCCAATTGGCCCCTAGTGTGTCCCTGTATTGTAGCCACTATCAGCTGACACTGGGCAGAAGATAACATGAGCCCATTCTCTGTCTGTGTGCTGACCCTCCTAGCATGTCCAGTTCACTGTTCCCTGACACAGAGACGATTTCCGGTGGTCCCTACCTGTCCCCGGCTGTGAGTATACAGGAGGCAGCGGCCGGTGATTAGGACATACGGGTATACGCTTCACCTGTCAGGCCGAAGCACTTCTTCCCTCTTCCAGGCGGCTCCACATCTCCCAGCTGCTGACAACAAAGTCTGACCACTAGAAGCATAAAATGTATGAAAACCAATTGTGAAACATGTCCCAAAGACCTTGTTTTATTTGAATGAGAGCGACGCCATGTTTCTGAAGACCAGCTCTCAGTTGAGGATGACTAGGCGATAACAAAATGGCTGCAAGAGTGGAGACACTAAGTTATAGACACTCCGCTATCTAGTAATTGTCTGTCACTGAAGCGGACAAACAATTGCATCACGTCCGTTCTGACGTCTACAATGCAAAAAAAAAAAAATTGGCTGTAAGCAGAGATAAAGTTGTCCTGATATTTGACAACGGTATAACTATTCCCAGAAAGCTTTGTAAATATCTAGCAGCTCGCTGAGAGCTGATCCAGAGCATAGCTAAGAAAGCAATAAACAAATACATAGAGACTGCCTACGTATTGCGCAATCAATTGAGGCGTAATTAAAAAAATATTTCTAGCAGTCAATCATTCGGGTGTTGAGACTTGCCAGGTTTCAAAATGGCCGACCTGTGCAGCCAACGTGTACGCTTGCGGTCGCATCCTCTGATTGGTTAATGCTGTATCACATGATTGCACTAAGGAGCAGGTGATACGAGCAGGTGGGATGGCGGCAGATTTGACTCCTAATCCCAGGTTCAGAAGGATCCGCAGTATGGGGGAGCTCAGACCCCGCAGGAGAGGTAAAGAAATGCCAGGTGCACCCTGTATATCGTCATGTGGGATTGGTATCACTTGTCCTATTGAGCTGCATCTGAACTGTTTTTTTCACCCTATAAAAGTCACACAGAAGCAAAACAAAACCGATCTCGGGTGCAGGTCGTTTGCCATGAATGACTTGCATTTTATAAATCCCCATGCACACGTGTGCGAATGCTTAATAACTGTGTGGCGCTTGTGGTACTATTCATTGTTAATGGCCCCCCGAATGTGCAAAAATGCTCAAATCCTCAAAAAGTGCATGAGCTTCTTTTAGCTCATTGAAGTGAATGGGCTGCCCTAGGTGCAACAAATGACAAACGTGCACATACATGACATGTGGTATCACACTTTGCAAGTGTAAATGGGGACTATGTTTACACCCCATGAATGCTCAGTCTGGATTTACACCTATGATTCTTTTCACCCAGTGTGCTTTACATTGAAATAAATGCAGCTGCATTAAAATGCATGTTGATGTGTGTTTTACATGTGGTGTTGTGCAATTTTAATGTATGTTGCAATGCTGTGCACCTTCCCCGAACTTTTCTATTGAGATTGAAAACAAAACTCTCCCCCCCCCGGAAACCCCTGTAGAACCACCCCCCCTTTGACTCGGATACTCACCTTTCTGCACCACATCCAATCACTTTCCTAATCCTGCCCCCTTCACCAAACTTCTCTAAAATACACCACTTCCTCACTGATGACACCACAGAGCTACTCATCCACTCACTTATTATCTCTTCTCCACTATTGCAACTCCTTAATGGCTTACCACTACACAGGCTGTCCCCCCCCCCTTCAGTTTATCATGAAGGCTGCTGCTAGACTCATCCACCTCGCCAACCATTCAGTGTCTGCAATCCCTCCACTGGTTTCCAATCACCCAAAGGATGAAATTCAAAATATTAACAATAAATATTAAGTTATACCATGCTTCCAGGAGAGCAGAGATTACCTCATCCGTGTTCTGCTTCTTCTTTATTGGCCAGTCATGGTCTGGGGGCACATTGGTCACCAGGTAGCGAAAAGTAAGGTAAGTGACCTTACTTTGCTCTCTGGTAGGGGTGCCTGCATCTCTTTCTGCTGGACACAATGACAAATCCTTTAGCAGGTATTATGTGTGTATTTCATTTCTTGTCTGGCGTTCAGCGTTTGACATTCTTTTGTCTGTTCAGGCTACACAGGACCTTTCCAGGCAACCCATTTGTGGAACAGTATCATCCATGCCCTGAAAACCCAGGTGGAAGTAAAGAGTCGACGTCAGCACCTCCGGACATACCCCAACTGTTTTATTGGGTCTGATGCTGTGGACGTTGTTCTGTGTCATCTTATGCAGAATATGTATTTAAGCAGCTATGATATTTCTCGCACTAAAGGCATACAGCTGTGCCAAGCACTCATGGATCACAAAATATTGGAGCCTGTTGGATCAAAGCTTTTTAAGGGTGAAACTGAACTAGTCTTTGAGGACAGCAATAGTCACTTATATCGATTTGTGGCGTCCAAGGGAGGTACCGTCTACTCGGCAGAAGACAAGAGCTTTGGAAAGGAGAGGAGACAGTCCAGGTGAGACGCCATGATTATTACTCTGTATTGTGACAGTCCAGGTGAGACGCCATGATTATTACTCTGTATTGTGACAGTCCAGGTGAGATGAGCTCCAAAGACTCACCGCTGTATTCTAACCTCAGCTGCAGTAAATTCACACTCTGGGTGCAGGCTGTAGTGTGCCTCTCACTTCCTAAAGTTGGCCATACACCTTACAATTATCTGCAGATTTTCTGTGGTCAGATGGAAAAAGTGCAACAGATTCCTCCATCTACACTTAACTGTGTGGATGGAGTAATCTCCACCTGGGCCAAGCTTCCGTAATCTTGCTAGTCGGCCCTGCTGGCTTTTAAAACACCTGAACAATGCCTGCATCCAATCAGATTGTTCAGGTATTTTGACAGTCAGCGGGGCCGATAGCAAGATACTGAAGCTTGGCCCAGTGGGAGATTCCTCCATCCACACAGTTTAGCGTAGATGGAGGAATCTGTTGCACTTTTTCCATCTGGCCAGAGAACATCTGCAGATAATTGTAAGGTGTATGGCCAGCTTTAGTCAGTCTCCTAAAGATCAGAGACCGGAGTAAGTGGCGTTATCCAAAAGTTATTGAAATAAATCAAGCAAATATCAAAGGCAGATCCAGAAGAATGATGATCAGCATGTACATCACCATGAAAGTCTCCCACACCAACGCCTGTCACGCGTTTCACCACCTGGGCTTAATCCTAGGGGTCAAAATCACAAGGTCACAAAATGTGAATAAATAAATTTACCCACATCCCCTGATCATGTGACTATACTGACCAATTAATGCACAGCATTCTGATCATTCCAAACTCGGAAGCTGTTAATTCTAGTGTAAAGATCACTGTACCAGTTGGAGGGGCATTACAGCGGGGACCAGGGGAGGTGGCTATCAGTTCACATTTTGTGGAAAGGTGAATCAGCTTAAACTGCCCTTTACAGGTGTACTTATGTTTTCACCTGTCAGTGGTACTGCCTCCTGCAGTCTCCAGAATGTAGAATCTAGCTCTGTGCTGACAAGAAAGCTGCTACAAGTGATCTGACTGACGTCCTATCCAGGCTCCAGGCCTCAATCTTGTTCCAGGCTGATGGAAGCATTCAAGTGTCATCACCACTGACTGTTGATGACGCTTCAGCCCTTTGTTCCATTTCCCTTCTATTATCCTTAGATGTGCCAGACGAGGCTGCAATTCCCAGATCACTTGTACAAAACGAGCGGTAGCTTCCCTACTCTACATTTAGCCCTGCTTTCTCTAAAAAAAACACACAAACCACCACATGCCCAGTGCATGTCCTGGGCATCGGGCAATTAAGGGGCATCACCCAGCCCCGTGCTAGATTCTTCATTGTGGAGATTGCAGTGGGTGACAACTGCCGCACACTGCCCGTTTGCAGTCATCGGAAGCCCGCCCTCAGGGGGCGCGGCTTGCGATGATCGCAAGTACGATCTGCCTGTCCAAGATGGGCAGATCATACGAGCTTTTAATTGGCTTACAACCATCGCAAGACAAAAGTCTTGCGACGGTTGTAAGGTGTATGGGCACCTTTAGAAATATCAGTTGATGTACAGTATGGCCTGTTATGCAAGGCTAAAAATATACTATGATATATGTTGCTATACCCATCCCAAGTTGGCCTTATTATTAATAATAATAATAATAATATATTATCTTCTTTTGAGAGCCTAGCTACTCCCCCTACTCCTTTTTATGATCTTTGGGATGCATTTAACTAGGTGAGAAGAGTTTCTTGCCTTTTTGTTATATTATGAATGCCTTTTATAACGTGATTTATTAATGGGGAGTTAAGAAGAGTTCCCTTTCTGTAAAGTTATTCTTTGCTCTTATAGCTTGTATTTAATTACAGTTCCATGTATTAAGCAGTCGCATTAAATATATATGTATGTCTCTCTTTCATACTCTTGCAGGAGTGGCCATGTTGTAACAATATGTAACCCTTCAGCCTTGGACTCTGCAAATGAGAAGCTAAATCAACTACTTCACTGCCTTTGCGAGCATCCTAATGCACATATGACCTCTGACCTCACTAAACAAGCCATTGCCCCATCACAAAAAGGTAAGACACAAGTGGCAGAATGTGTTTACTACTAATTTATGAAACTGAAGTTCACAGTCATTCTGTAATCAAGGGAGTAATTAACACAGCTACAGGTGTAGAGCTACTTTGGCAGCCTTCACAATTGATCACCGCAAGAAGAAATAAACAGGGTTATTCACTAAGCCCTCGTTCACACCTAGGCGTATTGCATATGCGCGTCTGTCGTGCGTTTTTTTACCGCGATTCGCGGTAAAAAGTCGCGCGTTTCCGAAGGCTACTTGGCTGTATCCCAATAGAAACGCGCAAACAAAACGGCCCAAAGTAGTACCTGGACCTTTTCAGGCGTGGGCCGTTTTGTAGCGCGTTAGGGACGGGCGGAAATACGCCAAGGTGGGAACGAGACCATTGACTACAATGCAATTTATATTTTTGACCGTCTTGTAGAGCGCTCGTCGAGCGTAGAACGCGCTACAAAACGGTCAGGTGTGAACGAGGGCTTAGGGCTTGTTCACACGACGTCCGGATTCTGTCCGGACCAGATCTGTGCGCTCATGCACCCAAAATGTATCCCTATGTGTTTTATGGGCTACAGTTCTCACGAGCGCATTCTGGTCCGGACAGAAATAATTCTGCATGTCACATTTTGTTTGTCCGGTCTGGAAATGCACGAATGCATCAAAAACGCAACGAAAACGCACTGCAGCTAACATACTGACAGCCCCACTCCAACCAAAAAAACGTAATATTTTTTTAACTGGAACGCTTTAAAAACGCACTGCATGCATAGCACCGCGTCTCCAGATCTGGACCAGAAAATCGTGTGAACAAGCCCTAAGGGTGAAGAGTTTGGAGAAGTGAACAATCTAGGCAAAAATAGTTAACCTGGAAAAATTCTGCAATTCAACTCGCTTTCCAGTTCTCCGCTATGTTGTCCTAGATTGTTCACTTCTCCTGCCTCCACCAAGCTCTTCAGCTTTTTCTGAATAACCAGAAAATGATTTGAAGTTGTTTGGAAAGACTTGCACTTCCTATTTTGTTGCATTGCCACTTAGAATTAAAATTGATTTTTGGGGCGGAGTTTTGATCATTTGATACACAACCACTTTGAAGATGCAAAATATTTTTTATTGTGATGCAAACAAGAAACCGAAAACTTGAGCGTGTATAACTATTCCCCCCCCCCCCCCTTCCCCCAAAGTCAATACCTTGTAGAGCCACCTTTTGCAGCAATTGCATCAGCAAGTCTCTTGGGGGTACGTCTCTATAGGCTTGGCACATCTAGCCACTGGGATTTTTGCCCATTCTTCAAGGCTCAACTGCTCCAACTCCTTCAGGTTGAATGGGTTTCGCTGGTGTACAGAAATCTTTAAAATATGCCACAGATTCTCAATTTGGTTGAGGTCTGGGCTTTGACTGGCCCATTCCAAGACATTAAAATGTTTCCACTTTAAACCCTTTTGCTGCCATAGAAGTGCTATACGTCAGACGGCGGTGGCAACGGGCCCCTTTAAACAGACTCCCTGTGGCTATGCTTAAAATGGAAGCAATTACGGTGGCTCAGCTGCCACCAAATCGCTTCCAGGGTCGAGGATAGTGCAGACCACCCCCCTGCCCGACACCTCCGCCTTGTTTCCCAGGCCCCGTTTTTGGTCTGGGACCGGCATGTCGATCGTGGGCGAGAAGCTGGGGAGGAGACCAGCGAATATCCATTTGCCGATTTCCTCCTCGTTCTATGGAAGTGGGAGCAATGCTGATTGCATTGCTTCGGGTCCCGTAGCTGTCATTGCTCAGCTGCAGAAGCCGAGGATTAAGCTATTGGAATGCGATCTGCTCTCCAATAGCTTTTTAGGAGTGGAAAGGTGACACTTGGGGTCTTTTGGACCCCTAGTGTCACATTAGAGTACCTGTCACTACTAAAATGCTGTCACATAGGGGGCTTGTGTGGTAGCAATTAAAGTTAAAAAAATAAATGTAAAAATAATGTAAAACTTTTTAAGTCCCCCCACAAGCACACTAAACGACGATCATGCTACACATGTTGGGTATCACCTCACATGCCAGAGTGAGACCAATAATTCTAAAGATATCTCTCTAAACTGATGACCTGTACGGGCTTTTAAAGCGTTGCCTAAAGACAATTTGGGGGATCGTATTTTGTTGCCATTTTACAGGCACACACAATTTTTTTACCTAGGCATGTTGGGTATCTACTCGTAACCTTACCCTTTTTTTTTGTTTGTTGTAAAATATAAAAGATATTATATTGTGTCTTTGGGCACTAAAATTAACTTTGCATTTTTCACCAAATTTTTGGGTTTGATAGAGTTTCGCTAATATTGTGAGATGTAAAAATTAGCAACGGCCACCATTTTATTCTTCAGGGTCTTTGCTTTCCGAAAATATCTAATGTTTTGGGGGTTTTAAGTAATATTCAGGCCTAAAATGTGGATTATAGCATGTAAGCAAAAAAGGCCATTGCAACGAAAGAGTTAAAGTACTGCCATTGCTGAACACCTGCTAAACATGCAGTTGAATTTACTCTTTGGTTTCCTTAAAGTGCCCATACACATTACGAATATCGGCCGATTTTTGTATGCGATTACGTTTTCGGCCGATATTAGTAAGGTTGATGGGCACTGTACAACCGCAAATACTGTACAATCGATCGACTTTTGACTAACCAGCAGGTTGGAAAACTTCAGTCGATCGTACGATTGTCGCAAGGTTTGTGGCGTTTCCGTTTGTCAAAATGCATACGATTTACACTACACATGCGCAGACGAAAATACGTGCGGTCGATTACTGCAATTCGTCCAGGTGATTTCTTCTAATTACCGCTGATCCAACCTTGCGATAATCGGGGCAGGATGGGGCCGCCGTACGAAAATCATACGACGGTTCGATCATCGGACGAAAAGTGTCGCCCGATGATCGCAAGGTGTATGGGCAGCCTTATCTTGAGCACCTGATCCAGAGCAAGCATGGAACAAGTAATCACAATACTTGGTCATAAACAGTGCCTCAACATTAAGCCGGTGAGTCAGGATAACAGCCGGGTGGTTACTGATTTATTGGCAATTAAAGCTTAAAATTCTAGGCTTTTCCTTTTATTGTTGTACATGCTCCTCTCCTGTACTGAAATTGCTTAGTCTGATTTCACTGCACACTGTCGGCTTCTCACAATTTGCGGCAAGTCAGACCCCCAGCTCATTTTCACCCTGAAGTATGTCCAGCACCATTTTCTCCAGCTTTACTATCCCTCTTTATCCCTGCCTAATTTTATGTATTGGATTTGAGTTCTTTCAATTATGGAGGCTCAGCACCGCATGTGCATGTTACCTAAGGTCTGCATCCATTTTGCTATTTAATTCCTCCTATGAACCAGCCCACTGCTGTTTTCAGGAAACTATGTACAGCACCCTGCTGGGATCGCATAGAGACGCACAGGGACCCAGTGATATTCACTGGGTTTAAAATAAGTATATGTAATTAGAACAGGTTTTACTTATTTAATAATAGCATGTTGGAAAGGGGGGCGGCAGTGGAGGCAAATATAAACCGATTAAATTTCAGCTTCAAATTTTGTAGTCATTTTAATACTCATTGTTTAAAAATTGCCAACAGTTTTCTTTCATTTATTTCTTTTTTATCCAGATACTGAGAATGTGTGGAAACAGCAGGTTATGGTACGACTTCTACAGCTTGTCGACATTCCTGTTTTGGAAGACATCTTGGGTTCTCCAGCAAAAACAGATTACAAAAAGCATTTCACTGACTATATTGTCTCCAACACTTTCTTAGATCGAGAGATCATGCAGACTCTACAACTTCCAAAGTAAGTACTGTTGTATACAATCGTAAGGCTGGGTTCACACCCAGGCGTATTGAATATGCACGTTTGTCGTGTGTTTCGTGCAGCGCGTTTTTACTGCGATTCACGAGGAAAAAATGTGCAACAAACGCGCGTTTCCGAGGGCTACCTGGCTGTATCCCAATGGATACGCGTGGCAAATACGTCCCAAAGAAGCTCCTGTGGGCGTAGGGCGTTTTGCAGCGCGTTCTTACGCGCTGTAAAACGCCAAAGTGGGAACCATCTTTATAGGCTTCATTGGTTTTCACATGTAGAGCGTTTTACAGAGCGTAGGAACGCGCTGTAAAACGCCCAGGTGTGAACCAGGCCTAACTGAGAGAAGTCTGTAACGCCGTTCACTAATTTCCTAATTAACTGCACTGCTCCTGGGATTGGTTGCCCCAACACTGGGATACTTTATGGGTACCATTGTAATTGGTTAAACTTTTGTCCTGTAAGCAACTAGGTGTGAACTCAGCCTTAGTCTGTTTTTCTTTTACTAAAGTGGAGTAGGTCAGCAAAAGTCCCAAAGGAGGGCTGTAAACATTATAAAAGCAATAATACAGTATGGATCATTAATATTCACAAATATAAGCCGAAACAAAGCAAAAATGGGTTTCTTCTAATTTTAAAGCACTGTAAGCACATCGTTCCTTAATTGTTTTTTTTTTTTTTAAAGTAGAAAACCGGTGTATCCAGTTCCCCAGCTATGTCTACATTATTTAGCAAGTTTACTGAAACTGTGAAAAAAGAAAGCCGTATGATGCGCACAATGGAAACAAACCAGACACAGCCCCAGAAAATTGTTGCTGAACATTACTGTGAAGTAAACACCCTTCAGCTGTGATAACTATGACACAGCAATGTTGGTTACTTCTCTTTTTTTTTTCCCAAAGCTGAACTCCATTCAGAATATTAATTGCTATCAATCCTCTCTCTATCCCTTACAAGAATTATTTTTTTATTTTTTTTCTTCACAGGGCTTAAATCCTGCACTCTTAAAGGATAGCTTATGGGTTCACAGATAATGGGTTCACCGATTACAAAGTAATTGTTAGTGACACTGAACCCAAGTTTAAAAAAAAACCCCAAAAATACCTGTAGTTGTAACTATCTGTGTCTCTTATTACAGCAGTGTTGGGCAGCAAATCTTTAAAGGGAAACTCCACTTTAAAGTGACACTAAACTCAGAAGTCAAATCATAACAATGCAGTCGAGCAGTGTTAATTTTGTTTGGCTAATAATTTTCGTCATAGTTTTCGTCGAAACCTTTTCAGTAACTAAAGGTGCCCACACACCTTGCGATAATCGTACGATAATCACGGAAATGATCGTACGATAATCACGGAAATCCTGCACACCTTACAACCATCACAAGACCATAGTCTTGCGATGGTTGTAAGGTGTGTGCCCAGCTTTAAACTAAATACAAACTAAGTTTATGTTGATCAAAACGATAACGAAAATATATTGACTAGACTAAACTGTTAGGGAAAGACTATTTGAGAACAGATCCAAACAGAACTACTCTCTTTGGACGTCCAATTCCGGTTCCATCCTGAATGGACAGCTAATAGGTATTATTTGCAATGGCATTACAGCCAATATAGTGTGTTGTGTTGTATTGTTGTGTTTTGTTTTTTTTTAAATATATTTTAGAGTTGCACTTCTGGAAAGAATGAAGATTATCATATGCGAGTTATGATCAATACTGGTCCTTTGTTAAAAATACTCCAATATTATTTCTTTATAAGACTGGTTTAATCTAATTTTAAGATAAATAAAGACTTGTTCTTTATCTCCACAGTAAATCTGTGTCTGTATTGCATGTTCAAACCTTAATACCATAAGTAATTTAAAGGTTAACAGATGTTTACTCCAGGAGTATATCATGAGATTGTAAATTCCAGAGGAATTCTTAAATTACTCTTTAACTAAACCCACTAGATTTTAGTAGACTAGATCTACCGTAGATTTAGTCGACTAAAATTAGACAAACTAAAACAATTCATATGACTAAATGGCATTTTAGTCAGGAGACTATGGCTAAAACGAAATCGAAATTTTCTGTCAAAATTAACACCTTCCTTACCCATTATCAAAGCTTGCTCCTGTGTTGGGCTACAATCTCAATACAAATTAGTAAAGCTAAACGTGAGATTGTAGTTCTGATTTTAACTCCAAGAAAAAAATGTAGGATTCCCCATCAATAGGAATTTTATTTTTAATGAGATACTCTCTAAGGTTAATTACTACTAAAGGAATGGCAACACTTCAGCTTTCCTCATTACAACACAAAGTCCAGCAGCTGGTTACGGACACAGACCCTCCCAATCGGGGATCAGTCTGGAAAGGACATAGTGAAATAAACGGCTATTTCTTTAGAACACTAAGGGCCAGTTCACATGAGTTTCAGGTCCGGATCTGCAGATGCGGTGCTACTGATGCAGTGCGTTTTTGCGCCTGACCGTACAAAATGTGACATGCAGTATTTTTCTGTCGTAACCTGAACGGACGGCGCACGTGAAAACTGTAGCCCATAAAACACATAGGGATACATTGGGATGCATTTTGAGTGCAGGAGCGTACGGATCAGGTCAGCACACAAAACAGACGTCGTGTGAACAGGCACTAAAAGGTAAGAATCTGCCGCAAAGTTTGTTAAAATATTTGCAGTGTAACCCAGAAGGGATTGATTTTTTTTCCTCAACAAAAGTGGAGTTACTTGCCGATTAATCGATTATTGAAAAAGTTGACAACTTTTTCAATAATCGATTATAATCGATTATGTCGATTAGTTGTTGCAGCCCTATCTTTAAGAATAATTTTTAAAGTTGCTCAGCAACAATTTCCTTTTAGGAGGGTGGCTACTTCCAATCTACATACAGGGGTCAGTCTAGTGATGAGCCCGAGTTTGCCCAAGCCCACTCAAAACTGAACACCACAAACCCACCTCCCCATGCATTCAGCACCCGCACGTAAAAGCACAGTGAAAACACCCATTCAAAAGGGGACGTGTGTGGAGTTGATTCAGCAGGGACAAAGACAGATGGGACTTGTAGTTTCAGCAGAGCGGTGCATGTGACCACAAGATGCATGCATTGCTGACAGACAGTATGTGCAAATACTTGCACATTAGGGCCAAAAACAGAAAATGTACAAAGCTGTTTACTTCCAATGTAAGCTAATTGCTCAGAGTTGTTTTGGGATATTGATGGTTATACTGTGAAATAGAGATATGCTGTTATGGCCTGAGCCACCTGATATTTTGCACTTCTTTACTGTTCTAAGAGCCACCACCCATGTTACATTTTTTTAAAAGTGTGTTGTGGCTTTTTTGGTTTCCTTTTTTTTTTTTTTTTCTTGCAACTGTGAGACATCTGCCATCAAAAAGCATTACAAGTCTACAGTCGTGGATATTGTTAATAGCATAATTGAGCCTATACAAGTAAGAGGAACATTATGGAGGGCCTATATTGCAGAAGCTATGCTGTTGAATGGCAAACAAAGAACTAGTCCCTACTATTGCCTGTAGGCTCCCTGCTGCTTATCTCCTCATTACTAGCAATGCTTGTTAGTCTCTTTGTCATTGTTTTCACACAAGATTCAAACCTTTTTATGATTATGTAAAGAATGCGTAAATTTGGGATGAAAGCATTTATTAAATAGTCCCCTTGAGAGAGACTGCACTGCCTCATGTCCTAGCTGCTCCACCCAATAACTATTGATCTGATGACTAGTGCGGTAATGATGATGAAAAAGCAGCAGGAGAAGTGTTAGGCCTCGTTCACACCTGACCGTTTTGTAGGGGGTTCTACGCTCGACGAACGCTCTACAAAACGGTCAAAAATATAAATTGCATTGTAGTCAATGCCCTCGTTCCCACCTAGGCGTATTTCCGCCCGTCCCTAACGCCCTACAAAACGGCCCACGCCTGAAAAGGTCCCGGGACTACTTTGGGCCGTTTTGTAGGGCGTTTTCCATTGGGATACAGCCAAGTAGACTTTGGAATCGCACGACTTTTTTACCGCGAATCGCGGTAAAAAACCGTGTGACACGCGCATATTACAATACGCCTAGGTGTGAATGGGGCCTAAGAGCTAGGAGATCTTAGTACTGCAGGTTACTTATAACCTAGCGTATTGCCCAACATGTTCTATAAAGGAACAATGAGCAGTAAAATTTTAAGAGAATAGCAGTCATCAGAGGCAGGAGTGGGTGAGATATGCGTTAGATCAGGACTGGACAATGCCAATGATGTAACGCAGGTAGCCAATGATCCTTAAAAATTACAGCTGGGGCCTAACTTGAGGTTTTCTTAAGTTGTCAATGCTGCTAGCTCCTGAATTCCATATTAATTTGTCTGCCTATGCTGTAGTTGGACCCACATTGCAGATTTGCAACTCTAAGGATATAGGAACAACAATGATTAGACACTGTTGCATGTCTTGCAGTTTACTGCTGTTTGGAGTAAGTCAAGGCAAAAGGTGTATGTTTACTATAAGAGTACTGCTTACCCACAATTAACATTGATTTAGATGGTAAACAATATTATAAGATGGGTAGCATAACTGAGAAATGTGATGCTTTTTGTTTATTGTTCTTGGTGTGTTTTCAGGTTGGACAGATGGTTAGCTTCAGCTGTGGACTGCTTGGAGTATTTTCCAGATGAACAGATTGTGATGCTAAGTCAGCAGTTTCCACAGAGTAATGGGGAAAATCTGGATCTTTATAAGAAGATGCTGTTCGATGTTATTGCAAAATATTACTCGCAAGAGAGAGATCCTTTTATTGAAGGACAAATGGTTACTGTTCTTATTGGAGTTGTTGAACTTCTAGGTGAGAACCTTTGGCTAATACTTTGATTTAAGTGAAGGGTACCTTCTAGCTGGGTAGATGTGCTTTACGTTTGTTTCTTAACCATGCAAAACTGGTGTTTTGTTTGAGTAGCTGCTGATGGGTTTAGCCCTCTAATTTTTACATCTGTCTAGAGCTTCACCATTATGATCTCTGCTCCACACAGATATCCTTTCAAATGTTCCTGTCCAAACAACCAATGAAACGTTTGCTGTTTAGTCTCTGGGAGCCACACATCATCTCCAAAGATGTCCCAGCTAGGTAGGATTAATTTTTGCATGCACGGAAGAGTCTCTGTTAATGTGGAAAGGCCACTGGTCATTGGTGGTGGAGAACCTTTTCCTTCATAAGAGATTTTTTTCTCTGCATATGCAGGACCAAGTTCTCATATAAAGGCCCACCTAACTACTGTAGCCTAATACAATGCAGAATTAGTACCAGCAATCCCATAAGAAAGTGAGACTCTTGCTGGGGTGGATAGAGGCAGGAGCAGCAAGCAATAAAAGAAGCTAGCGAATGACTAAAACCATTTACATCTGAAACATCAGCTTTAGGTTAATTAGACCTTTTAATACATTCAAGTATTTTACATATGGTGTCTCATTTATTTGCTTCACTTTACAATGTGGAAATTGTGCAAATTTTTACATCCAATATAGTTCCAGGAACTGCAATTGTAAAAGTTAAAGAAACTGTTATATCATGTCTTCTCTCTTCAGAGAGCTTCAGTAAATTCAATTCAAGGTATTGTTAGAAGATGATATACAGATTTCAGTCATGTAACAAATAGGCTTGTCACAACAGCCACAAGATTTATGTATCAAATTGGTGGATACCTTTGCTGAAACAATGAGGGAATGTGAGAAATTACATTGAACTCTGGTTTGATTTCACCCAATTCCATAGCATTGCCTTTCCTGGGAGTACTTAGCATGACTCCATTCCTTGAACTGACCTGCTTTGATGTATATCCATCAGTTTTAAATGAAAACCCGGGCAATGGAAGAATGGGAATTTTTTTTCTCCGATTTTGAGGCACGTTACAACTGACAATTATATTAGCCAACTTGTCAGTCCCTGTAAGTTAGTTTTTTGTCAGAAATGGTTGTATCACTTTAAAACAGCATATCATGTGTAGAACCTGCTTTGAAGTTTTTTTTAACCTTGAAATTAGGATTTTTGTAGAACAGCATTTCAGGTGCTGTCAATGGATGGATATAGGTAGTTAGATATATAATCAGTAGAGCCAGAAGGTAGATGCGTGCACATTTTTGGTGCTACTAAACCTTCAACAAATCCTTTCTAAATGTACCAGTTTGATAGATCTCTCTCTCTCCCCCCCCCCCCCCCCCCCAG